TATCGTCTCTGTGCCCGAACACATGATGCTGAATTTCTGCATTACTAACATGATGTTGCCACTGAATGTCAACAATCCTTCGGAGACAACGATGATCAAACACAGAGAGTTGTCTAACATCTTCAACTCGGAGAGGCCAGGTTTCACAAGCATAGAGCAGAACTGCTCTCACCGACGCGTTGTAGATCCGACCGTTTACAGCCAGACTAACATCACGAAGGCGCCAAAGATGGGCCAGATTGGCATAAGCCGCTCTGGCTTTCAGTATACGTGCATTGATCTCATCACTTACGCCACCACTAGCACTTATGCAGCTACCCAGATACACGAACTTCTCGACTACTATCTGCTCACTGCCCAGGGTGAGCGCAGCTTCAGGGTCCTGCCAGTCTTGTAAAAGTACTTTGCACATAGGAAGTGCGAAGCACATACCATACTTACGGACACTAATTGCCAACTGATGAAGCGAGGATTGCACGGCTTGGGTATGATCACACAGTAAGACAATATCATCCGCATACTCAAGATCGAGAAGTCTTTCTTCAGGCAACAGATCCACACCCCCATTGCTTACATTCATCAGAGCTGTCCCCAGACTGTCATCATTGGCAAAGTTGAAAAGGAATGGTGAGATTGGACAACCCTGCCTAACCCCATGCCTCGAATGGAACAATGGAGAGGATGGTTGTATGCCCTCACTCTGCCTGAGGGTTTGTATATAGAGCTTTTAAGATGTTAATAAATTTCTCAGACACACCCATTCCCAATAGACAATCCCAGAGAACAGTCCTGTCCAACGAATCGAAGTCAGCCTTGGTATCAAGAAACAATACGATTGTGACCTGTGTTGGTGGAGGTATACCCATCTCTTGTTTTTCCCCCAGATTAAGGCTTCTTAATTCTTCGTAACCTTTTTTTGTCTTTATTTCACTTCGTACTAAGTTTTATGTCGACAAATCTGTTTGTTAAACTTTTAAGAAGTAGATTATAGTAATGTAGCTGTAGATTCAGAAGGATTTTCAATTACTTGAGTGGAAGTTAAGCTAAGAATGATTATGTGCACATGAATAAATCTTGATTGATTCCACCTCATACCATCCTAACCGACTTATG